GGTCGTTCTGGCGTATCGGTGCTGTCGTCCGATTGAGACGATTCGCTGTTTGGTTCAGCGTCGCGCAATGCCTCACAAACGGCACTGAGCGAATTGTCGAGAGGGTTTTGCTCGATAGTCTCGAGCTCCTCTCGGGTTAGGTGAGCCATTCCAGAGGCTATAGGAGAAGGCGCAACGCTAGGGGCATGTGAGATCAACAAAACGATCAGGACATGCCCATCCCGATGGTTGAGAAAAAGGGGACCCCAGGATAACAGCGGCATGGGAGTGCTGAGTGCCACGCCCCACCTTATGTAATTCAGCTAGGTTAGCTCTCACCACCTAAGCTCGACAATGTTTACGATCTCATTCCGCCTCTGTTCAAGATGATGCAGTTGCGACTCGGTTTCCGCCACATTGCCCGCCTCACGCCGTCCCAGGCTTCTGCTTGTGTAAATGGCCCTCACTGTGAATTGAATGATTATTCGTGCGGTTTTCGATCGCCTGGGTTCCCTCAACTGGTGGTACCGGCACATCTTGTGCCCCAGTGATGGTATCAATGGACAGGCCAATGTCTTTTCCAAAAAAAGCCAAGTACGTAGATCGTGAATGAACAATGATGTCAGGTTCGCTTCTTGTCTTTGAAGGCACCATGCAGTATATCCCGTACTGCCGGTGGCCCACTTCTCTCCGAAGGTTTGTCATCCGTCCTCTATCAGATATTCATTCTCCGTATTGTCGATTTGAACTGACCCCGCCCTTGCTATGACACCTTCCACCATTGTCATGCAAGATTCAATATCATCGAGATGGAATTGCGGAGGTTTGCACGCCGTTCTGAGCAGCCGGAGAGATCTTCCGATCCGGGTTCCGTCGCAGCAGACCTGAACCCAAGCCTGTGTGCCAGAGAAGCGAATTGAAACAACAGAGTCTCGTCAGCTTGCGCCACATTCGCGCCCGATTTCTTCCTCTTTATGTCAGCAGGCACGTCGGAATGTGCTGCAGGGTGCGCAGATAGTGGGCTGACTGGTTAGTGGAGCCCGGCGTGAGCTTCATCGACGCTACCTTTTGCAAGCAGCACGTCCCTCACGAGCAGCGCCCAGCAAAAGGTGGTCGCGGAAATTTTGCGAGACACCAAGAATGGCTCCGTTGGTGCTACCTTCCTATCACATCTGCCATGGTTTCCATGGTGCAACACAAAGTAGCAAGCGGACCCGCACAATTGTTAGTAACGTGTACCGGGGCTTTCCGAGGACTGATCACTTGCCAACATCACATGATCCCTAAACCAAAAGGCCCAAACACATGGTATATTTCTGCAAAGCCCCATTTTGCGCTCCTAAACACTCACGACAACCCCCTTCCTGATCCATACAGGAATCCTTTCATCGAGATGGCAGACACCCCAGGATTCAGCGCCAATATGACTGAGGAGACTTTGATCGCCTCGGCAAGACTGTTAGTTCGGGTGTGTTTGCTAAGAGACCTGCTGCTAATCCAGGGTAGTCACAATCAGTTCCCCCCCGACACTGCGTTTCCTCAAATAGAGCAACTATCCGATGGACTTGAAGAACTCTGTGCAATAATTGCAAAGTACAATGCCCAGAGCCATTTCCGGCTGCGACTCCTACATCGCCATATGACGATCCCTGAAGGGCAAATAATGTTAGGGACTAGAATAACGAAACCTCTCGGGTTCTGGACTAGACCTACTCGCATTTCCGACATCGATTTACGCAAAATCTATGGTCATATTTTTTCGGTAGATGCAGCTAGGTATACGAGTGAAGGCGAGATGAGAAATGCCCTTCTATTTCCCTCCGAGTTTCGCGAAGGTCCGCCAGTCAGCTTTGGAAACATAGACGGTAATTTTTTTACGGAGTTCACCGACTGCCTCCGAACGAAGGGACTGGAAAATGTTTTTGGACTTGAGGTAGTACAAGATCAGCTTGGGAAAATGATCGAGTTTTCTTTCGATATTGGCAGTCTCTTGCTTAAGGAGGAGGAGGTGAATGCAGAGGTGAGGGGGGAGGGGAAAGGACAGTTCGAGCTCCAAGAAACAGGATGGAGTGTCATGATTGAGGATGAGACTGTCTATAAGACCGGGGAGACACGTTGCGCTACCTTTGCGACTGGCCATGTTAAAGTTACCGACAGCAAGGCTAAGGGCGTGTTAGACGTTGTGAAGATCTTGAGAGATGATGGTGTATTGGCCACGTAGGCTATAACGAAGAGCACCCCGGGATGGGAAACTCCTAGCTTCATTGTTCATATTCTTCTATTAAGTTCAATATTAACTTGAGAGTGCTGTTGTTACTTAGGAGGCAAGACGACGATGTAAAGGACGCACGAGTTTTGGACCTAATCAGGGACTGCGCCTCGAATAAAGTCCTCTACCAATCCTGCATCTATTACCTCCATTGTTACAAACGCTTCTTCCCCGCATTCATTCCAAAATATCATGCCAAACCCATCCCTTTGAATTATTTGCTTGAAACACTCCAACTTGATCAAGTATATTTTCGTCACTGTACTGCTGGCACCCGGAGAAGGTCCGGGTACGTAGACCTCTTGACCAGACGGCTTCACAATAGTATCCAATGCTCTTGGCAGCCTTAGTAAAACGCATGGTGGATACCCCTGCGGACTACCGAACCAAATCCCGCCCAGAATATCATTAGGGCGTTGGACAATTATCTGGTGAAGAATGTGTTTCTGGAACCGAATGGCTCCTTCAAATCATCAGTGCAAGTCTCCTCGACCCAGCAGATATACTACTCAATTAGTGTCTACCGTA